GTTTCTCCACAATAGCAAGGTATTTTAAGCATGTTTTGTGGTAAATACCATTAAAAAATATCAACAGCAACTTCATTTGCTACAGAGACTAGCTTCGAGCAGGTAAAACTGTGGTGGGCTAGAAATTGTCATGTGCCAGAAGTTACTTCTGCACCATATTAATTTCAAGTGACTGTTTTTAAAAGTGAACTTGACACATACAGTATGTTCTCCGTACTTGCTGAACTTTGTGCAGTCACAATACACAAGTGACAATATAATGTCTGTGACTTTTTACTGGATTTTACTACCTCATCTGCTTTAACTCCCCTCTTTATCCTTTCTTTTACCCCAGAAAGAATCTATCCTTTTCAATTTGTTCTATCAATAACATCACTCTCCACCATGACCTAACAAATGCCCCCAGCCTTCTGCTGCTCCCTAGCACTTTCCCTAACCAGAAGCAGCATACCATGGCTTCCTGCACAGACACTGATTTCTCCACCCACCCAGCACCGCAAACAGGAATCACTGCAAAGTGAGAACAATTCAGATTTCTGAACTGCCCCTCGTTAAATTTATGCTTATGCAACTAGACAGGAATCCAGTTTTACATTGGTCTGAACAGCACTGTGCAAGTCCCTTTAAATTATTCCTTTGTTTAGTATTCCCACAAATTGTCAACGCTTCCAATAAAGTACATGGCATGGAACACCTCTGTGAAAAGTAAAGGCAATTCAGATCAGAACTGGAATGATGAGCGCTCACTGCATTCTCACTCGTGACCTGCAGAAAACTCACCGTGACCTGACAATCATAGTTCATTTCTGCTGCAGAAAGTCCACTCCCACACCCCTCCAACTTCCTGCAAGGCCTCGGGTGGTGCAGAGCCCCATAGTCAGCATGGAGGTGTCGGCTATTTCAGGTGTTCCAAGTACTGTGGTCATGCTGAGAGGTGTTCACAGAGGTACCGACAGCTCAAGCTGCGGTTCCTTTAGGAAGCACCATGAAATGAAGTACTCTGTTATAGAAGTCTCTGTCCTGGTAGCATCTGCAAGAGCTTCGTTGCCTTCCATCTCCATAGTCCTCCCACAGACAGATGCCCTGCACTGCACTGGGACGGGCAGCAGACGGGCAGCAGAATCAGCACCAGCTGCAGCAGTACCTCAGTTCCTCTTCCCTCCAAAGTTGCTGCTGTTCTCTGCCTTACACTCACCATGAGTACAGCAAAAAGGGAGCAGCAAAGCAAGGTGATGGTGATCAGTTATTTTGTTCATTTGCTAGTTCATGTCAGAAGCCACAATTCATGCTGCTGTTCTCCTGAGAAATTGTTATGTCAGATGGCACCAGGGTCTCTCAACAGAGCAGAACGATGGCTACTGAGGCCATGCCATGCTCCTCTGACTGAGAGCTGGCTGACAGAAGCACATTATGTGGTGATCCAGTGGGATGAGATTCCTACAAAAAGAACAGCACAGACTGTCATGGGTTTCTGTTTACCAATATGCTGGATGTTCCTGAGGTTAAAGGGAAGTGGATTTGTTCAAAACAAGAAGCTTGAAAAGCAGGAAGTGATTCAGAGCAGTGTGGGATCAGTGTCAGCATTCCTCTAGCAGCTGCACAATCCCATCTCACAGATCAGCACTTAACCCTCTCAGAGCACAGTGAATGCAAATGTATCCTATATGAAGAGGTGTCAGACACAGGTGTGCACAGACAGTTCCCCCTTCACATGATAGTGCACTGGAAAAAGAGCTGGTATCACCCCAGCAGTTCCAAAATACTTGGAAAATTGCTTAAAATAAAGCAACAAACTGGAATTCCTAGTGTTTGGAAAAGTTTTAATACGAAGACACCAGATAGAGAGAGCTGATTTCTGCTTGTCTTCTATTACTCCCTTGGGGATACTGCAATTGGAATGAGGCAAACATTCATGGACCTCTACCCACACTGCTGAAGCCTTCCACCTTCAATCTGTCTCAGTTTGCAGCCTCAGCCTCTTTTCCCAAGCAGTGATCATCAGGAAAGCTGAATCTGCAAAACTAACATCAGCTTTCATCACTAGCACTCAATTCCAGAGCCATTTTAAAACACAGAGCAATTGAAACTTGTCCATGTCTCAGCAGAGCAAACCTACCTTCCAGACGTACCCTTCTCCCAGAGGAAAACCCATCCATGCTGCATTTTTCCAGCTCTGGGAGTGGAACAGGAAAGGACCAGCCTGTGGGAGAGCATGCAAAGGTGAATTAACAGCCTCAGGGCATAAATATTTCTCCCACTTCAAGATAAAGCCAAAGCAAATTGAACAACTGAGCCAAAGCCTTACACAATGGATTAAATATCGTGTGCCTCCCTTTCCATCATAGTTTGGGCAACTCTATAGGATCATTATTCATGTTGCTGACAGACACATGGCTGCCTGCAGATCCACATTTCAAGTATTTTTCCTGGTCCCAAACAAACCAAAGTTGGAAAGTGGGCAAAATCCAGATGGTTGATTTTGTACATTTTCCCATGATCGTTTTGAGCCTTCCAGATGTCTTTGTGAAGAGGCTCTTTGGGCAGGCTCTTTTGGGACAGGACCAATATGCAACAAATCAGTCAACATCAGTTGTACCAGGGAGTAATCATCCCAATAAGCAGCTTTTTGAGTAAGGGACCATGGGGCACACCATGCTGCCAGTGCCACCAGTTGCCAGTGGTGAAAAATATTCCAGGTTCCCAATAGTCCTATGATTCTTTCCAATCAACAGGATCTGTTCTCCTCCCATTACTGGCACTTTCCATACATACTCTGTCTCTGATTTCCTAGGAGAGTGACCAAAATTCTTCTTTGATTTGGCCAGCTCAGTAGCAGAACAGGGGACCACCTCCATACTAACATCAGAGTGCCCACCTTCACTCTCTTCATATGCATGCGCAGTTTCTGTCGGAGGGCAGAGAAGAGTCACCAGGTTTTCTGATTTGTCTTTTTGGGCTCTCACATCCTCCAGATTTTCTCCTGGATAAAAGTCACTCTCTGGGGAACTGGCATTAATCTCCCTCTCATTTACATCCAACTGTTCTGTAAAGCTTGCTGAAGGAGGGCTTTTGAATGTTCTTCTTTTTCTTACTGTCTCCTAAGATCTTCTGCTTGGTCCTTTAGGTATGAAACCCATTCCTGCAAGGACTGAATAATTTGGGTTTCTGCCATGTGCTTTTCATTGCATATCTCTACAGCAGCAGTAAGATCAGCTTTTAGAGCTGCACAAATGACTGATTTTCCCTTTCCTCCCTCATGTGAGTTAGCTTGTGGAGGGAATTTATATGATCTGTGATTCCCTCTAAGTTGGACCAATTACTCCATGTCCACTCCATCTCCATGAGGGAGAGTTTGGCCCCGTGCTTTTCTAAGAGGTCAAGGATCAGATTCCTGCCCTCATTCCCTTCTTTTGTTTTTTGTTAACAATCATGCCTCCAAATGTGCAGCAACCTTTTTGGGGAGGAAACATGTATTATCAACAACTCAACAATTTGCTCCTTACACCCTCAAGGGGTACACTCATATTCTAAAAACCTCAGAAGTGGAGCAATCTCCTTGGGGGAGAAACACATAAAACCAACAAATGAACAGTTCGCTCCTCACGCCCCCGAAGGGTACATGCGTACTCTCTCCTGCCAATAAGGCAGTTGCTACTACTGCCTGGATACATGCAGGCTAATCTTAACCCTGAAATGCCCGCTCACCTCCTTAACAGAAGACACTGTTAAAGAGCTAGAAAAGAGCCTGCTCTATTTCCTGACTCCCGTTGACAGCATTTCGCAGTCAAAGATGGCAAAGGTGCTCATAAGGAAAACTGCACAGTCTGGAAGCTGTAAATGCCCACAGTCCTGTGAGAAAATGCCAACATTTGTGAAATGTTCTAAATATTTGTGAAATGTCTGAAAAGGGCTGCTAATACCAGAAGACACTTCCGTTAAATGACCGAACGGGAATAAAAAGAAAGGATACTGGCCAGGTGGCCAGAGCAACATTGCTGTGTTGCGGAGTCCTGCACAGCGCCTGTTCTGAGTCCTGCAATAGGACAGGAGCCTGATGCTCCCAAAGGTGGCAAATCGCACTGAAAAGTACTGCAGGGACAGCTCTGAGAATGGAATGGGCAGCAGAGCCGGGGGCCCTCATGCATGAGCTGCCTCCTCCGGGAGAGGTGTCTTTCAGGCCTGGGGAGCAGCACTGGAGGTCGCAGGGCTCCTCCCCTCCTGTTAAGCACAAAGACCATGCAGCACAAAGACCATGCAGCTGGCAGCCGGTGACAGCAATCTGTATTTGTGCACACCCAGGAACTGAAGGACACAAATTGCATACACAGTGTATTCAACGTGTGTGGATGTCCATAGAATTTTTGGAAAGGGAACTGCTATACGTACGAAAATCTCATACTTTGCATGAACAGTGGCAATATGGGGTTCTTGCAAGGGCTCTTTGGTGCCATGGGGTTCCACTGAGTGGTGCTTACCAGCCAAAAGTTTGTGTGCTAAGTAGGTCAGGTCCCACATTTGCTCCAGAACATTTTAACAAAACATTGTCAGCTGACTAGTTTCTGGTGATCACTTGTTTTACAGGGCCACCATTATCAAGCCTAGCAGAGTTCAGTGCAAGTCCCACAGCCCATGGAATGTTGTGACTCTGCTTTTAGGCTTCAGATGTCCCACTTACCTGGGAATAACAACCTTCCCTAGGAAGAATGCCGCTTTGCTGAGACTCTGAAGCAACTGCTGAAGCAATGCAATTTGCGCACGCAAAGCAATCATGTAAGGCAAACACTAAGGAAGATGTTAATTTGTCTTTATTTGCTGGAAGATGTTACATTATTTTTGGAAAGGTGTCCCGCTGCTGACAGCTCTCCCCCAGCTCTCCCCTACAAGATGGCAGTGTGCAGCGGTGGGAGCTTCTGCCTGAGTGCGCCTGGGTGTTGCTGGCGCCTGAAGCAGCGTTTTGGTGTAGGCCGTGATGGCTACGGCCGCGGCAGCTGGAAGCCGCCTCACAGGCCCTGGGCCTTCCCACAGCGGTCCAAGAGCCTGGTCTTCTCTCCTTTCCTGTAGGAACCAAGAAGAAAGACGTCAGGCTCTGGGCTGGGGAGGGAGAGACAGAAATGCTGCAGGGCTTCTCTGGGGCCTGTAGTCTGGGGATGTGCTGCCCAGGACACACCCTGCTCCGTGTGATGCCCAGGGATCCTCGTGCCCAGGCCCATCTGCACCGAGAGCGCCCACCAGCCGGGGGAAAGGCGGGCAGGAGGAGGCCCAGCCCCGCAGCCCAGGGAAGCCCGGACAACAGGTCTGGGGCTCAGGGCCTCCTGACGCTGCCCCCGGGCCTCTGCAGGAGCCGGCACGCACTTACTGTTCCCGTGATGTCCGCGGGAGCTGGGGCTTGTTCTGCCACCCCTCTGGTGCTGTCTGCCCTGCAGGGCTTTGGCACCTGTCCTTCCCCTTCAGCCTCTCTCCCAGCTGCTGGTCATAGTCCCGTCTCACAATGTAGGCAGGACGAGGGTCACCCTCCAGCAGGCGGTGGAAGGGGTTCTGCAAAGGCAAAAGAGATTGTCCTAAGGAACAGTTGTCCTAAGGAACAGTTGCAAGGAGCTGGGGCTGCCCCTCATGATTTGGTCGTGCAGGAAATGGCACTGAAGAGCAGAGGGCTCTCTGTCTGCAACACAGACTGTGCCCTCACTCCCTGAAGCCAAGGGCTGGCACCGGCTTCTCTGCCTGGAAGCGGGTGAGCAGGCCTCAGTGCCTCAGCTGAGGCAGGTGCCTCACACAGGCCTGGTTTAGTCTTCACGTGCCTGTGCCCAGCCAGCTGCTGCCTTTGCCCTGCGCTCTTGGCTGCACGGCAACTTGCAGGGCAGCGGGCAGACAGAAGACGCTTCCTTGCCAGGTGGCCACAGCCACGCTGCCGTGTCCAGGAGCCCTGAGCTGCTCCCCTCCCGAGGAGCAGGGCAAAATGCCCTTTCCCTGAGGGCGGTCAGTGCGCACTGTACCTGGCTCCTCTCTGTGCTCAGCCTCTGTGTGTACTGCTCGTATTCACTCTGGATGTCAGCTTCGACCTCCTTGCGCTTGGAGGCCATCAGCACCTGGAGCCGTCTCGCCTCAGTCTGAGCGTGCTTCAAGCGCGCTGCCTGCAGGTCAGGGAAACACAACCATCGGCAGCGTCAGCCTCCTGGGGCTTGGGCAGGGACCCCTGGGAGGGCAGCTGCTGCTGCCATGCCTGCCCTCCTCTGGGGCCTCAGGGGGATTCAAGGGTAGCAGATCAATGTATCTGGCGTACCATTCTGGAGGTCTGCTGGGCGCTGGCAGCGGGCTTTGCCTGATGTGCAGCCTTTTGTAGCACACCAGCATATGTCTCTTCAAGTTGTGGCAGGAACCTAAAGAGAGACAGCCGGCTGAGCTGGCGGAAGCACAGGCTGAAGCAGTTTCTCACCACGGGGCTCCCAGCCCACAACTCTGCTCCAGCATCACAAGCGACTGTGCTGTGGTCACTTTGCCATTTCCAGGGCCTTTTGGCAAGGGCACCACGGCTGAGGGAAACACCTCCCTGACACAACAAACCAGAGCGTGGTGTGTCCCCCACCGCCTGCCTCTGCACTTCTCCAGGAGGCTCACCTGAATTTAACCCTTTGCTGTTTCTTCTCCTGCTCCTTGCGTCTTCTCTCTAACACCACAACTTTTGATGCCCTTTGCCGAGCCAGCATCACCGGATCATACACGCTCACTGCACGTGGGGAAGCAAGAGAACATCACATCATCTTTGTGACTGTGCACGTAAACAGCAGTGGCAGAGCTGCTTGGCCCCGCTCACCCACATTCATTGCCACCTCATGAACAGAGCCACTATTTCAGGGGCTCTTTGCCCCTGTTGGACTCTGGACTAAGCCCAGATCTGCATTCCTCCTGAGCCCGTCCTGCTCTCTCTCTCCCCTCTCCCAGTAGCAGGGACACGCAGGGAGGTGCCCAGAAATTCCAGGGCTTGCTGGAGCTTACAGGCCGGGGGTGAATTCCCCAGCAGGGAAGAGGTTTCCTCATGCAGTTCAGACACATTCACATACCTCTGCGGGCACCCTCGTTCCATGGCTGTGACTGTCTTCGGGGCTTCATGAAAACCGTATCTTGGCATGTCGTTGAGCCCTCAACTTGAATTCTGGAAACAAGAAGACACCAGTGGGATAAAAGGGCATCAAGCTTCCTCAGTGCAGGACATAGAGAACCTGCTGGCATGGCTTGTTGGAACCAATGCTGAGCCCCAAGGACTCTCTGTGGGAGCTGAGGGGCCCTCCAGTCTCCAGCAACTTCTGCCCCCGAGTTTCTGTCGCCTTTGTGCCAGCCCTGAACAGGGGGCCTCCTCGCTGTCCCCACACCCTCCTCCCACCTCTCTCATTCAGGGCTTATGGCCCACGCACTGGCCCATTGGACTGCACTGTCTGGGTGGACCAAGCCATGGGCTGAATGGAGCTTTCCCAGAGAAGGGCTGCTCTTGCCTAACAACCTTGCCAGGAGAGAGTCCCTGGCAAGAAGCTGCCACAAAGCATGAGCTGGGCAGCTGCTCCCTTGGCCGGCTGGCTGCTGCAGGAGTGGTTGTGCTCACCTTGGCAGTATGACACAGCCGTCCTCACTGGATCGAGTAAAGTTGTTTTTGCCACTAAACGCAATCATATTCATCATCTCAGAGTCCTGCATCGGGATAGACACAAGTGAGCAGAGGCCACAGACACGTCTGTTGCTCCCAAGAGTGACAAACCTTGGGAGACCTGCAGGGAGCCCCGGAGGCGTGCAAGCTCACCCCAAGAAGAGCGGGCAGCATGTTGCCCGTTGCATCCACCTGCAGTACGCAGTCATCAAAGAAGTTCATGATGACCTCGTGCCCTCTCAGAGAAAGAATGCCAAGTGTTTTGAAGAAGAAGTCAACTTCCTTCTTTCCTCGGAGGGCCTCAGCAAAGAAGAGCAGGGTCTCATAGATGCACTGCTCTACGATGGGCACACGGAAGCAAATGCTTTCAGCAATCTCCTGGAAGTTCAACGGGTGCTCGAATATCTCGACTGCAAAACAAACACACACCAACCACGTCAATCACTCCCTGCAGGAAAGGCAGGTAAGCTTTGCCACCAGCTCCCAGCGTGCAGCTATGAGCTGGGGAGAGCTGGGCAGATCGGGCTGGTGCCCGGGGGAGGGCCAGGGTGCTGGGACGCTCCGTGTGCACCCTCCCCCAGCACTCTCCAGGTTGCAAGAGACTTTGCTCTTGCCATGTCACAGGGAAATGCTGGGGCTGTGCAGTGGAGTAAAGCAAAGCAAAATTCTTCTTACAAGGAATTTTGGTCTTAGGCTTCTTGAGCTTGTAAAACTTCTGGATGTGCTTGTTCAGCTGGAAAATGGGTCTGTCCACATCCAGAACCCCATCCTCCCCGGCAGCGGCATGAGCTGGCACAACTGCAAAGCTGCCAATTCCAATATCCACCGCCTGAAATGTCAAACAAGAAGAGGGAGACATGGCAGTGCTGGGCAGAGGTGGGAAAGGTGCTGGGTGACCTGCTGGCCCTGGGCATGATGTTGTGTGGCCTGCCCGCCGCTCAGGTGCAAAGGGGCAAGCTGGGCCACGAGCAGGACGTAAGGCTCACCCTCTTCTCCATCAGCTCTTTCCGAATGTACTCGGATGTGGCATCCCACACTCTGCAGATTTCTGGAAAGCAAAAGAAAGACCCGTCACGCTCAGAGTTGGCAACGCCCAACCATTCTGAAACCCTTTCCCCCAACAGAGGAGAGAGCAGGGTGCGACCAAGCTCTCCTTGCCCTCAACGAGCACTCGTGCTGCTGCAGCTTCCAGCACAGCTCTTGACCGTGCCCAGCAGCGGGAAGCGCACAGTGCGCCCGGGGCCGGTCTGGAGAGGGAAGGGATGCGCTTTGGGGAAGGGGGTCCTGGCACCGGCAGCGCGTCTGGGCTGCCAAAGCAATCCCTGAGGCAGCTCTCCTTGCAGACACCAGGCCCCTCCTGGGGACCTTCCTCTTTGTCTCCCCACCGTCTTTCCTACCACAGCGCTGCCCCAAGGGCCCCCAAGCCTTACCTGCAGTGGTGAGGTCCCTCAGTAAGGTAAGCTCCTTGGGATCCAAGGGATTGAAGAGCATGTAAGAAAGCACCTCAGTCGCCATGCTGTGCAGCAGTTGGAGAAGCGGTGCTCACTCTCTTGCTCCTGTTCTTTGTCCCCTGGCAAGCAGCGTCCCACACTCTCTCACAGGTTCCCCTGGCCTTCTCCTGCCGTCAGAGCAGCTCCAGCAGAGCAGAGCAGCACTGGCAAGAACAGCCCTGGCACCTCCCAGGCCTCGCTGGGAAATGTGGCCGGGGGACGCTGGGGAGAGGGACTAAGAGCTGAGCCCCATTGTGACGCGCTGACGTCTCACAAAGGGCTGTGGGGACCCGCCCACCTCACAGGCCCCCCACATCTTGGCCCAGCATGGGCGGGGGAGCCCAGCGAGGCCCCGAAGGTGCTGCGCTGACGCTTCCACCCTGCATAGTGTCCTTCTGCTCTTCGCATCTGTTGTCTGCATGGAAATAAATAGGAGGTGTTACTTTTGGAGCAAACGACATGATTTTCGTGTGGAGTAACTTGATGAACTTTGTCAGCAGCTGCTAGAGATCATTAACAGGATCATAAATAAAATGGACTAGATGCCAGCAAGACTGAAATTCTCCTTCAAATTTGTTTCTAATCACCTTTCAAATTTCAGTGGGTAAAGCGTTTCCTTTACCTTCTACGTCTAAGAGTTAGGAAGACATTATTTTCAGTTATGGCAAGTGCATCTGCAGTTAACTGGTCTTTTATATTAATTCTTTCCCATTGAGATAATACATTAGAAGAGAACTGCTGACTGGTTCCCAGTGCTAATAGGGAAGACTGCAGGAGGGTTGCAATGCACACTGATCACTTGCTGCGTCTGACAGCGCAGCTTTATTCTTTGTCCTGCATCTCCCCCCGTTGGAAGAGTCAGCTAGCCAGTATGATCCTGGCCCCATTCATTTCCTGAATGTATCTCATTACTGTGCTTAACCACTGTTGAAAGGGCTAAGCCTCTGTTAGAATTAGAAGTTGGTCCAATACACCCAGTATGCTCAATAAGGGCATGAGACCATGACCAGCCAGCGAATGTGATAGGGTCAGCATAAGCAACTACAAATATTATTCTGAAGAAGTTGCCTGTCTGAAACAGTGACACTAATGATAGTACAGGAATCCTAGAGAAAGGAGCAGGGTGAGAAGGGAACATGTGAGGCACAGGAACAGGATCAGCATTTGTTAGCATCTGGAAAACAAGAGAGAGAACTTCCCGGTTCCAGAGGAATCAAAGTTAGAGAAAGTGTAACTGGAAAAGAAGACAACAACAACAAATTTTCCTGACAATTTTCCTGCCTAGCCAGCTGCTGCCTTTGCCCTGTGCTCTTGGCTGCAGCTCCTGTCGCACAGCAACTTGCAGGGCAGCGGGCAGACAGAAGATGCTTCCTTGCCAGGTGGCCACAGCCACGCTGCTGTGTCCAGGAGCCCTGAGCTGCTCCCCTCCTGAGGAGCAGGGGGAAATGCCCTTTCCCTGAGGGCGGTCAGTGCGCACTGTACCTGGCTCCTCTCCGTGCTCAGCCTCTGTGTGCACTGCTCATATTCACTCCGCATTTCAGCTTCGACCTCCTTGCGCTTGGAGGCCATCAGCACCTGGAGCCGTCTCGCCTCAGTCTGAGCGTGCTTCAAGCGCGCTGCCTGCAGGTCAGGGAAACACAACCATCGGCAGCGTCAGCCTCCTGGGGCTTGGGCAGGGACCCCTGGGAGGGCAGCTGCTGCTGCCATGCCTGCCCTCCTCTGGGGCCTCAGGGGGATTCAAGGGTAGCAGATCAATGTATCTGGCGTACCATTCTGGAGGTCTGCTGGGCGCTGGCAGCGGGCTTTGCCTGATGTGCAGCCTTTTGTAGCACTTCAGCATATATCTGTTCAAGTTCTGGCAGGAACCTAAAGAGAGACAGCCGGCTGAGCTGGCGGAAGCACAGGCTGAAGCAGTTTCTCACCGCAGGGCTCACAGCCCACAGCTCTGCTCCAGCAGCACAAGCGACTGTGCTGTGGTCACTTTGCCACTTCCAGGGCCTTTTCGCAAGGCCAAATGCACGCCAATTCTCACTTCTGCAAAATGAGGTGAACCGTCGAGCAACTCTTCATGCAAGACATTCATGTACAGCATAAGAGTCCCAGACTTTGGCCTCCAGGGCAATACATAATCACACACAATTGTGCTTATCTTGGTCTGTGTGCAGAGTTGCCAGGAATTATCAGGTCAATCACACAACACCGCAGTGCCCGCTGTCCATCCCTGTCCCCAAACTGTTCACAGATCTTGCCTCTAAAAAACATCCTGGGGTCCACACTGGCTCCATGAAGATCAACCATTGCCAACTCACAGGGATGTAGAAAAATGAGCGGGCTGCACCATACTGTGCTGTAGAGGCAGAGGCTCACTGCAGGTGATGTTGTTTCCCAGATTTCAGCACCAAACTGGGAGAAAGACTGTACATTTCCACACTGGGCAGCTACCAGGAGCTAGATTTGTCACAAAGAATTCTAGAAAGATCAGCACAAAAGCTTCAGAGATAAAGAATCCCCAGTGATGCATACTGTATAGCTCACCTTACCTCGATCAAATTGCCGTAGTTGAGAGCTAAGGTTTTTCTATCAGAAAGAATAAAATGTCACTGTGTGAAGAGAGTAATGCCAGATATTCTAACACTTCCAGACATATCCCTGTTTGCTTATGTTCAAACCAATGACTAAACTCCCAGTGGCTCCAGTGCAACTCTTCAGCAGCTGAGTATTTTGGCTTTATTTATTTTTTTTTAATAAATAGTTTAAAATGAAAGAAGAATGCTTGCTTTGTTCCCTTACTTCAGTTCAGATAGACATAGCTCAGGAAAGTAATTACTTAGAACTAATCCTTGTTACGGCAGCCTAGAAATTAATTTCTATTTTGACAAAATGAAAGAGGAAAGCATGAGTTAAGATGGATATGCGGGGTAGCATTGAAATGTCAGGGCCTATTGATAAATACATGTCAGACAGCAGTGTACCTTCAGACAACAACTGTTTTGGCAATTGCTTAATTAAGATTATCACTTGATTTATTCATTACAGCCATTACAAGTACCTTGTGCCTTCCCCCGCACAGCCAGTAACATTATTTCCTGGCTGGTATGGCTCATTAGCAGGAAAAGAAGACATCTGATTATTCTCACTCCACAAAAAAGAAATCCACTGACCATGTTCAACAGTCTCAAAAGCATTATAGCTTCAAAACACTAACAGTGAAATTTAGAAAAGCAAACAGTTCGAAAGCCTTGTTTGAGACAATTGAAAACATAGCTTTCTGTCTGGGCTGGAATTTATATGGACTCAATGCCCACGACCAAGTTTGTCTGGTGACTGCAGTGATTCCAGAAAACAAGCTGGCAGAAAGCAATGAAAGACCTGTCAACTGGAAAAAAAAAAAAAAAAAAAAAAAAAAAAAAAAGAAAGATTACATTTTCAGTAGTGTTTGCTTTTTTTTTTTTCTGTATGGGTTTTGTTTTTTCATTTCTTAGTTTGTTATTTGTGACTTCACGAGCTTGATTTTAAAAAGGGATTCAGGCAGACAAAAAACCTAGCGGAAGGAAGAAGAATAAGAGAGGTCCTTAAATTTAGTGTTAACAATGTAAAAACATTTAAGGGTTAAAATATTTAAAAATCAAAGTTACCATGCTTGTGAATCAAGTAATGTTCTTTAGACAAGTATTTTGAAAGATGAAAGGATACTATTAAAAATTTAATACAAAATGATGCACAGCAAACATAAAATAATTTTGCTTTCCATTTCTTTAATTGTAAGAACTGATAAGAACTGTCAGAGCACAGAGTCTGCAGACTGGAAGGCACCACTCCTCCTCAAAATGCTGGGCAACACAGGGAAAAGGCATTGCTAGCAGTTCTCTGCAGTAAAGAAAGGCACAGAACTAGTGCTAACATCAGTACTGTCACTACTCTCAGCTTGCCTGGGTTCAGGTTTGAGTGTATCCATGTCCACTTGCCCAGTCCATTCAGAAGGCTGCTGAATGCCTTCCCGACCTGCCATCTTGAGGTGGAGACTGTCTTCAGAACTCCAGAGAAAGTGGCCCAGCACTGAGAGAGAGCAAGAGGTATTGTGACTGAAATCACACAGATGTTGCTGCAGCCTGAATGTGTGGTATTCAGTGCTCTGCTGAAACATTTGGTTATTACAGTCCATTAAATCTTTAAGATAAATATTTGAGAATGCTTGAAATTTGCTGGATACAAACATTATGCAAGCAGGGGAAAAAACGCAAAACCAAAAACCCTATAGGATCAAAACTGAAAGCAATACCATTATTTTCAAGCAAATGTTCTAAACACAAAACTTAAAAGCGGGTGTCACAAAAGAAGTTAGAAATTGATTTTTTAGTTTCACTAAAAAGAAAGGGACAAGTGAACTTGTATTTCATTCACCATACTTTCTTTGGTGCCAAATTTTGTTCACCATATTACCTTATTCACCATATTTCCTTATTCAATGATAGATTCTTATTAACTCTCACTATTTTATTCAGCAGCAGCTGCTGGCAAATCTTTCACTGCTGCATGGTAAGAACCTGACAGAAGAGTTTTAGCTGGCTCCAATTGCTCTGCCTCTCTGCTCTGTTGTGCAGAGCTGCCTTTATTCAATACCAAATGCTGCAATTGCAAATGTTATTTTCTAATTAGTGCTACCAAAACAGCCTTATGCCAAGCAACTGAGTAGCATAAGAATTTTCTGCCCTCTTTTTGTTGGTTGTAATAAAAAACATTAAATATTGTAAGTTTTTCTCTTTTTTGTTTAATAAAAAACATTAAAGATTAAAACCAGCTTTGACATGAACAGACACTAAATATATATTTTAATTGTGATCCAAGAGAATTATTTGCTCAAAGTAGCCCAGGGAAGCAAAAATGTTGGACACCCATGCTTTAACACGTACTATAGCATCCTTGGGTGTAGGTCTCGAAAGGTGCCCATGTTGAAGCTCATCATGTTCCTCCCCATTCAACACTCCAATGCACATGTCCAGCTCCAGCTTCCTGATGCCCCTTGGA